CCAATTCCATCCCAATTCCTTCAGTGACTGTTTGGGGTTCTAAGGGAACAGATCACTAGATCCATCCCAATTCCATTTGGGGTTCAGGGAAGGGATTGCCGGACCCATCCCAATTCTATTTGGGGTTGTCGAGGGTTTGGGGTTAAGGGAAGGGATGGCCAGATCCGTCCCAATTCCATCCCAATTCCATCAGTGACCATTTGGGGTTCTAAAGGAACGGTTCACTTGATCCATCCCAATTCCATTTGGGGTTAAAGGAAGAGATCACCTGATCCATCCCAATTCTATTTGGGGTTGTTGAGGGAAGGGATCACCTGATCTATCCCAATTCCATTTGGGGCTGTTAAGGGAAGGGATGGCCGGATCCACCCCAATTCCATTCCAATTCCATCAGTGACCATTTGGGGTTCTAAGGGAATGGATCACTGGATCCATCCCAGTTCTGTTTGGGGTTGTTGAGGGAAGGGAAGGGATCACCTGATCTATCCCAATTCCATTTGGGGTTGTTGAGGGTTTGGGGTTCAGGGAAGGGATCCCCAGCTCCTCTGGCAGATCAGAGCCCCCTTGGACGTCCCTTCCACCTCATCATTCCCGGGATTTCCCGGGGAAAAGGAGGTGACGGCTTTATCCTCCAACATCCCCCAATTCCTCCAGGATCCTCTATCCCACACCAGATCCTAAATCCAACCCCCCCGAAACACTCTCAGCTGCGAACCCCAGCGCTCTGATCCCGGAAACCCCGCAGGCAGAGCAGCGCAGAGATAATTCCAGAGCTGATCCCAAAAGAATTCCCGGGGCTGTCTGGAAATGCGGCTCTGTGGCGCTGACGTTATCCCGCAGCTCCGCCCGGCATTCCTGCGGCTCTCAGCTGCTCCGAGCATCCCGACTTCCATGGGAACCGCAACAAAATCCTCCTCCGGAGCCACGGAGACGCCACCGGAATGACCCAAATCAAATCCAGCCCCACCAACCCCATCCCAAATGGGATTAGGGCTGGGCGGGGACGGGCCAAATGAGATTGCGGGGACCAGACGGCAGCGGGGCCGGGCCAGCCCCGCTCCCCGCGGGACAATTCCCGCAGCCCTGCTCACCCTCCGGAGCGATGATTCAACCGCAGATCCCGGGGAGAGGAGCCAGGGCAGGGCCAGGAGCGGCTGCGGGGCCGGAGAGCGGCAGGAGCTTGGGATGGAGCCCAAAAACCCCTGCAGAGACCCCAAAAACCCCTGCAGAGACCCCAAAAACCCCTGCAGAGACCCCAAAAACCCCTGCAGAGAATCCAAAAACCGCTGCAGAGACCCCAAAAAACCCTGCAGAGACCCCAAAAACCCTTGCAGAGACCCCAAAAACCCCTGCAGAGAGCCCAAAAACCACAGCAGAACCCCAAAACCCCTGCAGAGACCCCAAAAACTGCTGCAGAAACCCAAAAATCCCGGCAGAGACCCCAAAAAACCCTGCAGAGACCCCAAAAACCCCTGTTGAGACCCCAAAGCCTCGGGAATGAAACCCCACTGACCCGGCAGCATTTGGGATTTTGCCAGGCCGGCAACAGCCACGTTTGGGGCCTCGGTTTTTAGGGAAAAAGGGATTTTCCAGGAAGCAACTGTGGGGTCGGAGCATCCGGCCCCTTGTGGGGGATAAACCCAGAATGGATTGATTTTATTTTAAACCAAATTCTCTGTAATAGAAATCCTCACGGGTCCACGGCATTCCCAGTGCATTCCCAGTGCACCCCTTGTGCATTCCCAGTGCATTCCCAGCGCTCCCAGTGCATTCCCAGTGCATTCCCAGTGCATTCCCAGTGTTCCCAGTTCCTTCCCAGTGCATTTCCGGTGCTCCCAGTGTATTCCCAGTGTATTCCCAGTGCTCCCAGTGCATTCTCAGTTCATTCCCAGTTCATTCCCAGTGCTCTCAGAGCATTCTCAGTGCTCCCAGTTCATTCCCTGTTCATTCCCAGCTCATTCCCACTGCATTCCCACTGCATTCCCAGTTCATTCCCAGTGCTCCCAGAACATTCTCAGTGCTCCCATTTCATTCCCTGTGTATTCCCAGTGCATTCCCAGTTCATTCCCTGTGTATTCCCAGTGCATTCCCCGTTCATTCCCAGTACTCCCAGTGCATTCCCAGTGCTCCCAGTGCATCGCCAGTGCATTCCCAGTGCACTCCCAGTGCACTCCCAGTGCATTCCCAATGCATTCCCAATGCTCCCAGTTTCTTCCCAGTGCATTCCCAGTGCTCTCAGAGCATTCTCAGTGCTCCCATTTCATTCCCTGCTCATTCCCAGTACATTCCCAGTTCATTCCCAGAGCATTCCCAGTGCATTCCCAGTTCATTCCCAGCCCACCCCCCTCCCCAGCTCACAGCCTGGAGCCTGAGCTGCCGCTTCGATCTCGCTGGATTTGGGATCTGTTTATCCCCGACATGAGCAGCCCCAGGCTCCTGCCCTTTCCAGAGCCCCGAGAGTGGCTCTGGCCACTGAATTCTGCCACATTTTAAMCAAATTTTGCCACATTTTAACCAAACTCCACGGGTTTGGCCCCATTTGGGGACCGGGGTGGTGTCTGGTGCCACCGGAGCCCAGGATTTTGGGGAGTTGCACCCCAGCCCCAGTGTTTGTCCCTCAGGAAAATCCTTTATTTCTTCCTAATATTCCCAGATTTCCTGAGCCAAAATCCCCCGTTTCTGGCAGGGCTTCCAGGTAAAGGTGGGAGCAGAGCCCAAATCCATCCCCMGGATAATTCGGGGTGTGAAGAGAGGAGAAAACTCAGCTCAGCTCAAACATCCTTCCCTCAGGATATTCCCAGGATTTTTCCTCCATCCCAGGAGGTGCCAAGGAGGGGGAAAATCTGGGTATAAAACACCCCAAAAAAGGTAAAATAACCCCCCTGAGGGGGTAAAATTATCCGTGAAGGGGAAAATCCGCTTTACCCCCAATTATCATGAGCAGGATGAGTCTCCATGGGTTTTATTCCAGATGGGGTGGGGAGGGAACAGAAAAGGGAGAAGATTGCGGTGAAAGCTGGGAATCCTTCCCGGCCTGAGCTCCGCAGGAATTCCAGGTGTGGGAATTGTGCGGGATTTGTGCAGGAATTGTGTGGGAATTGAGTGGGAATTGTGGGGGATTTGTGTGGGATTTGTGCGGGAATTGTGTGGGAATTGAGTGGGAATTGTGGGGGATTTATGTGGGAATTTTGCAGGATTTGTGCGGGAATTGTACAAGAATTTTGTGGAATTAATGCAGGAATTGTGTGGGACTTATGCGAGAATTGTGCGGGATTTGTCTGGGATTTGTGGGGGATTTGTCAGGATTTGTGCGGATTTGTGCAGGAGCTGTGAGGGAATTGTGCGGGATTTGTGCAGGAATTGTCGGAAATTGTGCGGGATTTGTGTGGGATTTATGCAGGAATTTTGTGTGATTTGTGCGGGAATTGTGCGGGAATTTTGTAGGATTTATGCGGAAATTGTGCGGGATTTGTGTGAGAATTGTGCGGGATTTGTTTGGGATTTGTTTGGGATTTGTGCAGGATTTGTGCAGGAGCTGTGAGGGAATTGTGCGGGATTTGTGCAGGAATTGTCGGAAATTGTGCGGGATTTGTGTGGGAATTGTGCAGGATTTGTGTGGGAATTGTGCGGGATTTGTGCACAATCTTCTTCCCGAGCCTGACCCTTTCCCTCGGAGCGGGACAAGGACGGGCCGGGGACGCTCAGGGCCGGTCCCATTTTTCCAGGTACCATTTCTGCATGACGGTGCTGCTGTACCTGCTGCCGCTGCTGGTCATCGGCTGCGCCTACGCCGTGGTCGGCCGCACGCTCTGGGCCAGTGAGATCCCCGGAGACTCCTCCGACCGCTACCACGAGCAGGTGTCGGCCAAGAGGAAGGTGAGGTGTCGCGAAGGGAAGACTCGGACCACTTAATATGAGTTATAAGCAAACTTCGATTTATTGTAAACAATGTCCAAGTTTTATAACATAATGAGCTCATGCATATTCTGTAAYACATATATTTCATAGGTCCACGTCTTRCACGTCAACTCCACCTCTAATGATTCATTTGCCAAATTTCCCTTATCTACTTCTACTTTTTCCCAAGGCTAACTAGCACAAATACCTCATAGGGAGTTTCCAGCGGCTTAAAAACATGATGTCCTTGCATTGCCTTCCCATCGCCTCAGAAGGATGGTTCACACAATTTCAGCAATTATTCTATCTGAGCGCGACATCTGCATTCCTTCATCTCACCAAGCTGTAAAATGTCTACGTGACCCTTCTCAGCTTAGCTACCTTCCACAGTGAGGAGTTCTGGGAGTGGATGGAGCCAGAATTCATCCAATCCCAACCATGAGCAGGTGTCGGCCAAGAGAAAAGTGAGGAGTTCTGGGAGTGGATGGAGCCAGAATTCATCCAATCCCAACCATGAGTGGGTCTAAGAGAAGCAGAACATAAGGAATCCCAGACAGGGCTGGATCCAGAATTCATCCAATCCCAACCGTGAGTGGGTCTCAGAGAAGCGGAAGGTGAGGAATTCTGAGGGTGGATGGATCCAGAATTCATCCAATCCAACCATGAGCAGGTGTCGGCCAAGAGGAAGGTGAGGAGTTCTGGGAGTGGATGGGTCCAGAATTCATCCAATCTCAGCCATGAGTGGGTCTTGGAGAAACAGAAGGTGAGGAATTCTGCCAGTGGATGGATCCAGAATTCACATCCAATCCCAACCATGAGCAGATCTCAGAGAAACAAAAGGTGAGAAATTCTGAAGGTGAGGAATTCTGAGGATGGATCCAGAATTCCCATCCAATCCCAACCACGAGCAGGTGTTGGCCAAGAGGAAGATGAGGAGTTCTGGGAGTGGATGGAGCCAGAATTCACATCCAATCCCAACCATGAGTGGGCCTTGGAGAAACAGAAGGTGAGGAATTCCAGGCAGGGCTGGATCCAGAACTCACATCCAATCCCAACCGCAAGCAGATCTCAGAGAAGCAAAAGGTGAGGAATTCTGAACCTGGCTGGACCCATAATTCCCATCCAATCCCAATCATGAGCAGGTGTCAGCCAAGCACAAAGTAAGGAATTCTGAGCCTGGATAGATCCGTAATTCCTATCCAATCCCAACCACGAGCAGATCTCAGAGAAGCAGCTGAGGAATTCCAGGCACAGCTGGACCCAGAATTCCTATCCAATCCCAACCAATCCCAGCCCCAAACCCTTCATTAGGAGTGGGAGCAGGTGAGGACTCAGTGGTTGAAAATGGAGCTGCGGGCGCCTCCTCCGCAAAAGTGATTTCACCAAGATGTTGGTCACACATTCCCAGTTGGAAAGGCCATTCCAAAGGGTGGAATGACAGGGATGGGTTGAACATGGAGCAGAGTCCTCTGAACCGACATCACCTCCACAAAAGTTTTTTAACCAGGATGTTGACCACAC